ACATCTAGTAACACACATACCATACACAGGACACTAGGAAGCAGCATTTGCATTTGTAAACACACAAATTGTACATATACATGCATATAACTTTCTTGGGACATGCAAATGCTAGGCATATCACGTCCCTGGAATGCACAATTAAGTTTAACTCAAACAAAATAAACTAAAATAGCAAAAGAAAATATAATAATTAAAGAAAAAATAAGTTACCAAATTGCAAAACAGTCTGATACCCTGAAGGCCTTAACTTTAATCCAACAAAAGGAAAGTGAGGGACTGTACGAAAATTTTGTGAGACCGATGGTTTTTGAATGACCATTCGCAACCCCTTACACTGTACATGATTGTGTAATTTTTGTATACTCCTCATGTTAAATTTTCTGATTACCAATCAGTACTTAAATTGTAATTCACCCACCTGTTGAGACTGTCATAAGAATTGTCTTCTCCTCTTTCTCCACTTTTTTGTCTGTTCTGGCACCCCTAAGAAATACAACAACCAAATCAGAAATTGTTAATTTAAGGCAGTTTCTGGCCAGTAAAATGTACATCAAGGAATACACCTCTAGCAATTAAACTGTGGATTTGATAATTTTCAACCATGATCAACTAGGCATCACTCCATTACAACGCATATACTGTACATGAATACCAATAATTTAAGTTTAATTTTCTGAGTAAGATGAACCATTATTTAGTTTTCTTTATGCCTGAACATGCTTAATTGAAAACTTCTTGCTCTTACCATTTTAAGCTCCTTACGTAACTCTTCAAAAATTTCCAGGTAACTCCAAAGTCTGTTGATAAGACTGCCTACAAATATAAACAAAATATCAATATACAAATTGCTTGACTGTCTGTTTTACAAAATATTAATATTGAACATGTATCTATCTTCAACCAAAATTTTGTGCATACCATGGCATGTATTTAAAACACATGTCATTTAGATTAATTAATTATTAAAAATAATGAAAAATTTGAGTTTACAAAGGTAGGTAGGTAAAGGTAAAGTCTCAATTCAAGCCAAATGGCCAATCAGACTGGAGCTCATCCCAGTTTCTGTAGCACGAAGTGACTAGAAATATTTCTACTCCCTTCTGGATGGGATGCCAGTCCATCACAGGGCTACCCCCACCATTAAAATCACTGGTACACACATCTAGATGAAGAGAGGCAATGCTGTGAAAGAAAATTATTAAAATTGTCTTGCCCAAGAATGCAGCACAATGTCCCTAGCCAGGGCTTGAACCCGGACCACTTGATCCGGAGTTGAGAGCACTAACCACGAGGCCACCATGCCTCCACATCCAAAGGACTGTGGTATCGATCTTATGGTTACATAACAATATAAAACAATTTAATTCAAAGGGAACCAGCACCAATTAAAAACAGAAACAGAACTTGACTTTTTCTTACCCTTCCATTTATAACAGCCCGAGCAAGGATCCAGTTCTCCTTACGTGGATGAAAGAGAAGGGGTCCAGAAATCTGAAATGGAACTTGACCATTTTTCCAACTCTTTCCTCCATCTTCAGTCATCACAAGAGCAGACTTGGTTGCAAAAAAGGGAATCGTGTGGGACACAAGTATCACCTAAAAACAAATCAACAGGTAGCAATTTCAATTATTAGGTCAAGTCTGCATATGAGCCAAGTGGCCCATCAGGCTGGAGCTTATCCCAGTTTCTGCAGCATGAAGCGACTAGGAGTATTTCTACACCCCCTGGATGGGATACTAGTCCATCACATGACTATCCCCAGCATTAAATTTGCTGGAACCCATTAGTACACCAGGGTGGAGAGGGGCATTGTGAGAGTAAGTGCCTTGCCCAAGAACACAACACAATGTCCCCAGCCAGGGCTTGAGCCTGCACTGCTTGATCCAGAGTTGAGCACACTAACCATGAGGCTACCATGCCTTCAATAGTTATTAATCATCATTATTATGAGGAGTGTTATTGGTAAGTTATTGGTTTGGTTTTAGTTTTATGACACTTAAATGAAAACCAATATATGCATGTAACTTGTTCTTCTGATATGAGTTGATTTTTCCACAAACCTTATCAGGGTTCACTGGGCTTTTTAGGATTCCATTATCCTTCCTGATTTGGGTATTGAAAATTTCAGCATTGATGTGGGTGAATGTTTTTCCAAAGTCAACACTGATAAAACAAAGTAACATTCAATGATGAAAAAAATCTATAATTAGAGAATAGCCTAGAGAAAATAGGCACGATGCACGATTGGTTTAAAATCATGTTTTTACGAAACAATTAGATTATGAGCTCCAGATAGATTTATAATGTGTGATACTTTTGATGAGGGCACAGCCCAAGTCAGCTATCATGCAATAGAAATTGAGAGCGAATAATCTACTGTGTGTAATTGTTTTAGTATAAATCTAGTAGTTGTTCGAAACCTTATATAAATCCTCCTAATAGACACCTCAAAAATGCAAAGAAGTGGCTGTCTTTTTGTTAACAAGTGCACACTGGTACACTACTCACTATCTACGATAGAATAGATAGTGAGTAGCCAATCAGAGAACAGCATTTGTGATAGAACACTACTAGATTTACACTAAAATCATTTAGAAAATAGCACAGAGACAATATTCATGCTGATTGGTTTAAAATCGTGTTTCTATTAAGCAAAATTGATAGATTATTCGCTCTTGATTTCTATCACACAATAGTTGATGAGGGTGCTGCCCGAGTCAACTATCATGCATAGAAATTGAGAGCAGATAATCTAATTGTTTTAGTATAAATCTACTAGTCGTTCAAAACTTTGTCTAATTCCCCTTCACAGACACTTCTGAAATGCCAAGAAGTGGCCGTCATTTTGTTAACAAGGGCATGCTGCTGTGCTACTCACTATCTATCGCAGAATAGATAGTGTCTGTAGAGTAGCCTAGCCAATCAGAGAATGGTATTCGTGATAGAACGCTAGTAGATTTACACTAAAACTCGATAGAAACACAGAACAAGTACAAGCTGTTGACGTAATGATGCCAGGCGCGAGCAAAGAGAATTTACATTTCAGTGTTCAAGTTGTTTTCTTTTGTTCGTCACAGCATTTCCTGAAAAAAATAGCAAACATGTTCTCTGTGTTTCTATTGAGTCTTAACTACTAGTATTAGTGTTCTATCACAAATGCCATTCTCTGACTGGCTACACTCACTATCTATTCTGTGATAGGTAGTGAGTAGCGTAGCAGTGTAACCTTGTTAACAAAAGGACGGCTGCTCCTTGGTGTTTTTGAAATGTCTGTAATTTATACTAAAACGATTAGATTATTCACTCTCGATTTCTATCATGTGATAGAAATCTTGAGCTCACAATCTAATTGTTTTATAACAGAAACACTCATGAAAGTTTGGGAGAACTCGAAAAAGCTGTTGAAACACTTGCCTGTCAGCTTGTGCTCCCACAGCATTTCTCGTTCTCCCAAACTTCCAATTGTGTTTCTATAGCTCGATAGAATTACACAGAACATGATTGTTTTCTTTTTCTTAATCAATGATTCTTTTTTTAAAGAGACCCATAATTAGTTTTTAATAATTATTTCGGTGCAAAGCTGAACCCCAAGTGAATGTGCCAAATTATACAGATGAGAACATCTACAATTATTTACTACAGTTTTAAAGTGAGTCACTCAATAGTTTTTAGTAATAATCTTGATACAAATCTGAAAACCAAGTGAAAGTGCCAACATTAGGGGTGGCTAATGGTAAATGCGAGAGTTTGCGAGACGGTGAGACAAGCATTTTTCTTTGTGAACCCGAGACATTTTGACTTTTTAGATTGCAAGACCAAGACTTCAAAGTGTTTTGAGTACAAGCACGAGACATTCAGACTCTTAAAATTCGAGCGTCAGATTTAGTTGAGAGCTAGAATGAGCTTGTACATCCTTAAGCCAGCTTCTTGGAACTGACTGGAACTGGAAATTCGATTATAACACACTACGGTGTGATATCCTAGAGAAAAATTACTGTTTTTCTGGCGCAAAACGGATGTTGTGGTAGGTTTTGTACCTTTTTGTGGAATTACAATGTCCAATTAGGAGAAGTTAGGATTAACGTTTTCTCAGAAAATTTGTAAGTTGCTTTATCAAAATTCCATATCGAGTGAAGAGAAGATGTAATTTATAAAAACAGATAAAGGAACAAATTGAGACTTCAAGACCCTTAGCCTTGCGAAAAATCGAGACTCCGAGACAGCTTCGTAGAAAAATCGAGACTCCGAGACGCACATATCCACAAAACGAGACTGCGAGACCCGTGAAATTCGACTAAAATATTACGAGACCCCCAGCTTTTGCCACCCCTAATATTAACTTAAAACAATATCAAAGGCACATTTAAATGTTACATGCATGTGATAATCTTCTAGAATTAAAATAGTGCCACAAAACATACAAAGTACAAACACTTTGTAGTTTGAACACATTCATACCTTTTGTAAACATCTGACGGTTTACTAAACAGCCACATAAACTCCGTTGTAGCCAAAAGAAGCATCGCCTAATATCAAGTACAAAAACAATTATAACAACAATATAACAGCTTCAATCAGTATTCCTTGATCCATATCTAGACAAAATTCTTGGATCAATAGAGACACTAAAAGTGGTCAAATAATGTAATTTCTTTTTGCTGGGTATTTATACAGGTCTTTTACTTTGAGGTGGGAGAATTTATCCAAACTCAAGAAAGGAAAAAATTTGAAAGTTGAAAGTTAGAGCCGTCACCCCAAGGAATTTATACAAATATATTGCAGTTCACTTGATACTTTAAATTCTTTACTAATCACTTGCCGTTCTCAGAGACCCAGGAAGTTAGTTGGGTTATGAGGAAGTGAAATGGGTGAAAGTAGTGTGAACGAAAGTTTACAAGAATTGCATTGGCACCAATTTCATCCAATTTCCTCCTGACCCAACTAACTGCTCAAGATTGGTCTCCAAGGATAAAAAGTTGCAAGCAAGATTCGTACACTGTTCTGTTTTGACAATATTACACCTCCTTATGGCCAATCAGATTTATGAGTTTTGTTATGGTTTTGATTTACTTTAATATTTAGGATCTCTTAACATAAAAAATCACTGTTTAAGATTTCCTCATACCACTAGTAATTTGAATAGAAGAGTTTGCATAGAGGTTCAACCTTTCGCTGAAGGCTGTTTGTCTAGTAGCCTGTATTTATTTTCTCTATGTATTTAGCTCAAACAATTGGTAGTCCAACACGTTTAAAGAACCTAATGGCCGTAAAATAACAATATCTGTAAAACGTTATCAAGGCACAAAGTTGGTCAAAACTCAAACATTTATCAAAATTTTAGCCGCGTTAATTTTCTGTCGTAAGATGATACTGAAAGCATTATATGTCCTTTTCTCTGTTGATGCTGATACAACATAGACAGCTGTGATACCAACCACAGTTTTTTCTATATTGATGATTCATCAGTTACAACACATAAATGCACTTTAGTTTGAAGTTGGGGCCGTTGTCTTCTACATCCAAATGGTATTCGCTATCTCATTACATAAAATCATCAAACACATAGCATCCCATATACTTTTGTTAACGCTGTTGCATTAAGTTTGTATACCAACTTTAGAGTTTTCGTATCAACAAAATTAATAACATCAATTTACTAAACAACATTTAGATGGCCACCGTAGCCGTTTTTGCCAGTTCATTACAACATTCTGCAAAATTTTGTTTTGAAAACCTTTCATTTCTCTGTGAATGGTATTATAAAACCGTGATATAAGCCAGTAAACAAAACGACATTCTTATACGGAATTTCAGAATCCATGGTAATAAATTAATTATTCATAACAGAACTCGATATTTAAAAAGACATCAAACACTACCATTAGCAATAAACCACAAAATGGCAACAAAGGGCAAGTGAAATCAACCAGTTATTCACTGATGCTTTCATAAAGCGGCACGTAATTTAACCAACCTTAACTGAAAGATCTGTACAGTGCAATCGGCTTGGTCTGTTCTTATCGCTAAAACAATTAAACTTACGATGTACTCTAAAATATAAATTAAAGGATTTCAAGACTCGCTTACCGAAGCTTCACCTGTAGGTCGCTTTCCGATCCAACTCATGGAAATGCTAAGTTTCGTTTCATTCTCAAACACCCACTAAAAGAAAAGAAAAGCTACAATCAACATTAACTCACGAAAGCGGAAAAAAAAAATTGCCATCTTTGAATCTTCATCGATAAACAAAGCCCTCCTGAGCTTACTTACGAGCATTTTTCTAATTTCATGTCCAGATTGGATTGTCGGATCGCTACAAGAGACATCATTTGTGTCTGGGTCTTGTTGTACATCTCGACGAAAGCGACGTTTGGCAATTTCCTTCCTCGAGGAGGTCAACTTCACAAAATCTTGTGAAGGTTGTTGGCGAACAAGTTCCTCGCTCAGCGCTTCACGACAATAAGTTACAACGAGAAAAACACTTAACAAAATAACTGAACGCATTATAAAAAAAATTAAATCACATAGACTGAAAAGGGGGGAAAACAAAGAATACAGAGTTAGAAGGACATCTCTGTTGTTTTCTGGCTTTCTGCAAGAATAAACTTGAAAACCCCCTGAGAGCATGCGTCAAAATAACCACGAATCCCGAGCTAGTCCCGAGTCAAGTACGAGTCACGAGCCAACCTCGCTCCCAGGGTCTCTCATCTTACCGCCCCCTGGAGCGAGCGAAGAGAGGGGCGGTAAGATGAGAGACCCTGGGAACGAGGTTGGTCACGAGCATACTACCCACAGGCCCGCAAAGCGTGCGTATGCTTGTGACAAATGCAATCGATGAGATGAACCAACTGTGACGAAGAACTAATTTCTCCTAAGAGTATGAATACATTTTTAAGCAGATTGGTGACGGAAATAAACAAATTTATCAACTTAAAATTCTTCATGTCCCACCAAATTCTCATGAACTTCTCGTCGACAAAAGCTGAAAAAAACTGTGAACGAGAGGCCGTTGTTCGGTCTTTCTTTTATTACTGCTGTGACTAGTAAAAAACGCTAAAATTTCTTTCACTACTTATGTTTTGCGTAGTTCGAGATTATCCAAACTCAAAACTCACGAAAAAACAATGTAAACGGAAAACCTCACCGAAAAGTTACAAAAACGAAATCAAACTTTTCGATGTCGTGACTGGATATTAGGGGCTAGAAGTTATTTTCGCGTTGGTCCAGTCGGCTTAGGGATTAAAAAACATTGAGCTTTATTGAGCAGACAACGTTTCTCTTAGAAATTACCAGGTGCCTGATTGTTTTTTTTTTGTTTGTTTGTTTTTTTTCAATGTTGTCTATTCGCTGATCGGATTACGATCCTTCCTGGGTCTCTTTGAAAGCTAAGAATTTACCACCGCTGGCTCATCTCATTGATTGCATTTGTCCTGTGCCGCATACGCACATGATATACGTATTATGCCTGCAAGACTGTGTTTCAACTTGAGTGAAAAACAAACTAAGTCATATTCACAACAAAACGTTTGCGAACTTACACAATGATGTAACTGAAGATTTAAAGTGCCTCTATGATCAAATTCTCGATACCCATTTTTTTTTTTTTACATTTTCGTACACAATAGTTCTTTCCTAGATTTCTTGCCAAATTTCAATCTATTACAAACATATATTAGCATAAAGAACAACAAAAACTTTGGCTCATATATTCGTGCAATTTTCTACATTAATTGTTATTATAATTTCAACCCGTGCGGTATTTTTGAGAAAGTGACATCATTTTCCCAAATTCTCAACCAAGACTTGGAACAAGGAAAATTAAAGGTGGCCGAAAATTCTCGGAAATAAAGGTCCAAAAACCGCGAGTGCTAATGTTCGCAATAGATTGAAATTTGGCAAGATATCTAGGAAAGACCTATTGAGTACGAAAATGCAAACAAATGGCTATCGAGAATTCCATCAAAGTGGCACTTTAAAGGGCCCCTCAAATGACTACGTCGGATGAATTTGAAAACGCAGCTTTATCTCTGCGGTTAGGCTTACAATCCGCACTAATCCGGACCAAAAACTGAGCTTTTTAATTCGAAAACGCTCCCCAAAATGGAGGAGTTTGAAAACGCCGGCTTTGCGTTTTAGTGTGGACGCCGGAAAATATTTTGAAAACGGAATTTTTTGAAAGCGATGATGTTACGCCATAATAATTTGATTTCCCTGCCCGAGTTTTTCTCAAACACATCCACAATGACCGTTAATTATTGCGTTTTCAAATATCTCCAGCGTAGTGTTGACGAAGCCGTATATGAGCTCGAGATTGTCATCGCGTGATAGTTGACGAGGGCGCAGCGCTAGTCAACTATCAGGCATAGAAATCGAGAGCCAATAATCCAAATTCACTTCTAATTGGTATCTGGGATTAACAAGAAATAATCACACCTTTGTTGTGGATAGATCCATGACTGTAAAAGTATTGGACGAACAACGGGAAGAGTAACACTATTACTACTTTGTTCTTTGCACCATATATGGTAATGGTACTTGTTAGGAATCCTGGGGGTACTCCCAGAAAAATTTGGCGCGGGCGGGGGGGGGAGGGATGTGCGGCCCGCTCCCCAAATCCCCTACCCTATTTATGACCAAAATCTGCGATTTTCCCTACCCTATTTATAACCAGACCAAAAATTCGATACCCAAATTATGACCGTTGCGGCTGATACAGTTGCCCTAAACATAATTTTTGAGGGGCTTTTGTTTATGGTCTTATCGATAATGATGAAAAAGTAGCTTCGTCTGAACAACATGCCCAATTCAAGACTAGAGTACAAAAACTATACCCTATTTAAGACCAAAATGGCCATAATCGATACCCTGTTTAACATATTTATAACCAAAACGGCTGAAAAGCCGTACCCTTAATTTGGGGCCGCACATACCTATATAGCCCACATAAGGGAGTATTCTCCCGGAGTAGAAATCCCACGGGGATTTCTACAGTTACGTCACTTTTCTGTACAAAGGCATGGCTGAACCTTAAGCACATCTCTTTCGAGGTAGATCGATCTAAACGGCCGGGGGATCAAAGTGATAAATTATGAAATTATGGACGTGAGTAAGGCAGCGTTGGATTCTTCCGCTGGCAATGAACCTGGAGTATGTAACAGTTGCGAAGTATAGCTACAATGTAGCTTAGTCGTGCTGCAACCTACCTTTTAACGCGGGGGTAAACATGAATGAAGTGAAATTTTAGGAAGTTTAAAGAGGGATTAAAAGGGGAAAAAAGGTTACGGTTTACGTCTACCAATTTTTAACTTCAAATTCTAATTTTAAAACAACACCAAATCTTCCAAACTTCCTATCGCCATAAATTTTAGTAAACCTTTGAGGAAAAACTATTTATCTCCAAATATACCTAAAAATCACCAAAAAATTTACAAAACAGCCCAAAACATAGAAATGTGGGATGAGCAGAGAGATTCTTGACTGCTTGAAACGTGAACGAGATATTTGCATTAAAACCATAATACCCAGCCAAAATACGGCCTTCATGTAGACCCCGCCTTAATTAGTACGCAGTCAAAGGTAGTCCCCTCTGCTGTATCACGCTCCAGTCAAAGTAAAGCAGAAACCGAAGCAAAAAGCTGCTGAATATTTAGAGTACCCATGACTTTATTTTTTTCTAATTACTACACGCATAGTTTACGTATGAGAACAACTTCGCAACTTTTGTACTTAGTACCTTCCGATAAACTTACTGGTTTTTCGCAGCAGAACTTTTTTGGAAAACGTAAGTTTACAAACCCGATTGTAATCAAATGTCCAAGCTCGCTTAATAAGTTATTTTCTCTCCAATAAAACAAGTACACATTTAAAACTGCTTTAAGACTAAAAACCTGTACATCTGACTAAAAATTAAAACGTGTTTGAGCGTTTTCGAATTCTCACAACTATAAGTCTATCTTAAAAATTCATTTTATACACGATTTCCGTGCTATGTAGTAGTGTTCTAATTTTCCCGCTGAAAACCACTGGCCAAAGTTACAGCGGCTAAATAATCGTCCACAGTGTGGCGACTCTCTCCACTGTCTGAGTTACAGGAGGCTTGATACTGAGTCGGAAGGCTGATGACAGGCGAGGTACGGGGACTGAATGGAGGGCTGGTTGAAGCAGATACACTCGGACGGACCATAACACTAACCGTCTGTGAAGCAGAAGACGCGAAATTGGAATTCCTGTTGAAAACTGTCCGTTGAAACGTACCACTGGGTGGAAACATAGAAGTGCTTGTAGGAAACGGAGGGTAGACTGGGCTCCACGGTCTGAAATACGTTTGGCTCAGTGGCGGGAAAATGGCAGAAGACGGCTGGAACATGGCCGGTGAGATGACGTCACTGCAGTCTGACAGCGTCTTTGAAGCAGGGAGGACTGGAGCGGGTTTGTTCTTGATCTCATGTTTGCGCCATCTTGCGCGACGGTTTTGAAACCAGACCTGTAAATAAAAGTCAAAGAAGCTAGCATGAGTAAAATGAGTGCGCACTGCATTACAATACAATATCAACACAATGCCAAGCAGATAAATGACGTGAGACAGAAAAAATCTTCAACGCGGCTTGGATGAAGAACCAAATTCTCAGCACATAGATAAACATATATGCATAGAGGTCAATAGGGAGAATTTGTATAATTAACAATTCGAAAGAAATTAAGACTACCTTCGCTCCTAGGAAGCTGGATATAATAAAACGGCTCTATGGTGAAAAAAAGTTTAAATAAAGGCTAATAAAGCTTTTTACCGATACGCGACGCGTCAAAAGATATGTGCGCTGAGTTTCGAAAGAAACAAAACTGTGCCGGAAAGAAACTATGAAAGATCGACTTGCAGTGTGCGTGTATAAGCTCCCCAGACTGGAAATGTTTGCGCGACAACAACTTCAAATTCAAGCGGAGTCAATCAATTTCTTCCTCTCTTTCTTGCAGAAAATGATGATCGATGAGGAATTTCATATTGCCTATACGAATCAATCAACCATCTTACCTGAATTCTGTCCTCCCCAATGTTGAGTTCTTTCGCAAGATCCTCGCGTATCTGAATGCCCGGGAATTTTTCGCTTTCAAATGAGTCCTCCAACCGATTGAGTTGTTCGTCTGTAAATGCTGTTCGACGACGCCTTTGTCGCGATCTGTCACCTGTAAGAAAAAATAGCGGTTGTTAAGTTCTATCCTAGGCTACATGTTGATAAATACTCACAGCAGACAAAGCTAGCAGTCTTCTGAATTTCTAAATGATCTCCATGAGTTCGCGAAGGGCATAAACAGACGGATGGAAGTATATGACAAACAATTTGACATGGAGAACAGAAAAGTTCCCAACACTTTACACCTTCTCGTTTTCATACATTCTTCCCTTCATTAAAAGATTTCTCCCTAAACTGATCCCGCTCTAGCGATAAAAATACTTTAACAGACTTCAGTTCGATCTCTTATAATTCTGTTAACAATTCTAAGTTAGTTACTTACATTCGTTTTCCAAAGCCGATCTTTTCGAGCTTTTCCTTGAACTCATACTAGTTTTGATAAAATTTCACTTTCAGAGAGGACGCTAGCAGCAAGAGATGTCCTCGACAACACGACTGAGAGTTAAATGAACAGCTGCGAGTTTCATTCCTTTATAAAGCGTATGACGCGCTCCGTTTAATTGTGGGCGGACAAACGAAGTTAAACACAATAAACTTGTTACTGACTTGATTAGTGAATTATTTCTCACCTCTATTGTCACTCACTTGTGAGTTTTATCCATTGTTAGTATTTTTTATGAGCCATCTTGCCTCTATTTTTATTATAAACTAAAGTGATTGTTTTTCATTGTTTTCGTCAAATTTACAAACCTAGCTTTATCCAAAGCAAAATCTTATTCTTGATGAGAATTTTGTTTTTAGAAAACCACACCATGTTGTCCATAAGCATATCACGGTTACTACCTATGTCCATATTTGAGCTACTACGTAGAAATCAACTAATGTAAGTCACATAGAAATTAAATAACATTACGCTCGATGTTAGTAAGAGCGAGTTTCCTGTTTTCAAAGAAGCGAACTGAATAATTTCCTACATGTTTTCAGAAAAGTAACTTAATTTTTGTGCGGACACGCGAAATTAAAAAAGAAAGCGCCTGATCGCGGGTTAGCAGAAATATGACGGTGTGCGTGTCAAAGTGACCCATGACATAATGGACTCCACAGCGAACTCAACTCAATGGCTTTAAGAGAAGTATAAAAAGAAATCTACGCTACGAAAGAAAAGTAGTGACAGGAATTTCTCTTTCGCCGGCCACACACTTTATCGCTTTTCTCAAACATTTTGTGCTTAATTCTGACGATAAACTCAACATTTTATAAGTCGGTGTATTTAGCGTTAAGCGCTCGTGTAAAACCGTCACACCGTACTTTGCTCAGAGCGAGTATCAAACTACTTTTAATTTGTCAGGGTGCCGACACCTCTATCCTGCAGCGCGTTGAGGAACACAAAAGATCGTCTTCAATCGGGAATCACATTAAAGAGCAACTTGGAACAGTCCCAAGTGACATATATCGTGATTCTAAGATCTTGAGAAAGTGCCAAAGTACATTGGACAGCCAAGGAGCTTAAGCCAACTCTGAACAAACAGTCAGATTCAATCCATGCAAAGTTGTTTATAAAGTTTTTTTTTTTTTATCGTATTTTATTATTTTAACACCGACATTTTAGCGCTTGTATTTACATATTTTATCGTTGGACATTCTCGCGCCCTAATTTTGTACTTATCATATGTATATTTCATTCGCTTTTTTCTACAACTTGAAAATGATCGCAGAGAAATCGAAATATCGTTTTTTATCGCTAGTTTTTATTCTGAAATGTGTTTTAAAAAACTACTTATAAGACACGGAATGAAACGAAAAAGGCTTTCGTCTTATAACATCGAAACAACGCCGGTAGTGTTTTGAGGCCTGGCTGAAATTTGCGTTAAGTTGCAGTTCGTCAGTTCATTGAAGTTCTTTTATTATCAACCATTCTCGCGTCCTTTTCATTGTGGGCGGCACTGAACTTTCAAACAAACAAACAAACAAACAAAAAAACAAACAAACACAATTAACTTGTTACTAATGACTCGATCAGTGACTAATTTCTCACCTCTATTGTTACGCATCCTGTGAGCTTATCTTTTGTTCTGCACTAACTTGCACCTTACCTGCCTTACCTGAGTTAATAACTGTTTTCTGTCGTTTCTTCTCTTAACCGTTTCAAACCCAGCAATTTCGATAAAATGATATGAATGCATGTAGGTAGAGCATTGGTTTGGAAACCGGCATTCAAATATACTCCACAGTCGCTCATGATCTATTCTGTGATCAAATACAGAGAACATTTTCCGTGCTTCATTCTAACTTTGAAAACACGAGTGGAAGTTTGGGAAAACGAGAAGTGATTTAGGATTGACGAGCCGCAAGCGAGTGTTTTAATTTCACAGCTTCCGTCGGCTTCACTGGTTCTCTGTTTCTATCAATACAGTGCAGTAAATAGGTGGGGTTTGCGAACGAAGCGAGCAAGAAGAAATATTCTCGATCCCCACCCCCACCCAGTAAAGTCTTCCGTTTTGCGCTGGCGTCCAGTTCTCTCGCGATCCTATCCGCGCGTTCAACGATCGAATGAAAATACAAGAAAATAGAGGGCTGTGAACAGTCTAACCTTAGGGTGGTCAGCCTCAAAAGGTCCACTGCGGGAGCTTTCGCCGTACCTTTTAGGGTAAAGAGCCGGAAAAATATGACAGGAGATAATGTGTTGTTTTAGAATTGGTACCTCTTAGGGGTGAAAAAAATTCCAAGTTACGCCCACAAAACAGGATCTATGTTTCATTCAGCGCGCGATTTCTTATGTCATGTGTTCCAAACGAATCAATTTTAAAAACTTTAACAAAGTCACGACTTTGTTGATATCACGTACGCCTGGTATTTCACCTCTTCGCCCTTGCGGCTCTTTCATATTCTAACAAACCATTAACGACCATTAACGCAGTCAATAATTCTTTGATAACACAATTTAATTCACATTGGCAAGCAGACCAATGTCTCAAAGTTAAGCTCACATTTGGCAGCTTGAATATATGATTAACTGCGATATTTATCAAATGAATACCCTTCCAGAGAAGATGTATTCCTTCATCTTTGTTGTGACACGCTGTATCTGCTGTTCAGTCCACGTGTGCCTGGTGATCGAAGGAGTATCGAACAAAACCTGGCTACATTTTCCAACATACTCCTCAGAGCACGTGACACCTAGATGGTCACACAATCTTCGCAGCGTTTCTTTGGGTCGTAGAACTGTTTCGTGTCCTGGAATATCGATGACGTCATTTCCGTACCGTTCCCTGATCCGTTTGTTGGCGTCGGCCATAGGAAAGTAGTAACTAATTGTTTGGTCTAGTAAATTGGTGTTGTTTATCTGTCAGAAAAGGAAATGAGAACAAGAAAGAAAAAAGAATGTGGTACTCAACATGGATTAACATTAAAGCATTATGCGACATATATGCGACATGATTTACAAAACAGAACAAAAGAGACAAACAAAGCACAACATTTTCAGCCCAAGGCCGGGCGCGGAGATGTTTGCCTTTGGACGAGCATGAGAAAATCAGCGCGATCGGAAATTTCTCCCAGCAGGCACTGGAAGTCGTGTCCCACACCGCCCAGGCCAGGCGTCGACCAAGCGGAGATCGGTTGCGAGCATGCACAGAAGCTGCAAGACCCGATCTGGGTAATCAAACTCGTCCCCAGGGGCCGCGATCCTTTTGCTCAGCGTCAAGAATCGAGACCACTGCGTACAATCGGAAAGTGAGCCAGCATTAATCACAGCGGTTAGTCTCGCTACACATGTTGAGAAACTGTTATTGGATTGAACTCATATGCACAACCAATAGCACCAATCCTCGCACAACATTGAGAAGGAAGTCATTAAAGCGAGCACATAATTGAGGTGCAACTGGTGCAGGTGTCCAATTACAGGTATCCAATTGCAAAACTTTGTAATTGGATCGTGACCACGCGGCGATTGTTTGACAAATAAGCTCGTGGAGAACTAATCATGATCGAAAATTTTGTTAAACATAGACTATGTTATTAATATTATGGTTATGGTCGAGAATTAATAATTGAAAAATCTCTCCTTACCTTAACTCTTTCTCCTCCAACGGTGTCTAGTGAATTTAAAAGAGTGAAGCAATATGGTTGCTATGTTATCAAAGGGGTTCCTGATGACGTGGATGAATTTCATTGGTAGTTGAACTGCTTGACTGATTTCTTCAAGAATCTGCATGTTGGCGAATCGATTTATCATCGTGGATGTGTGTCCTGCAGCTTTCCAGCTCTAATAATCAGTCTTCATGACTGTGCTTAAAAATCCCCACCCCAGGCCCCTCCGTCCCGGAATGTGAGGTCAAAATAAAACCACCCATTGGCTAATGCTTTCAGAAAGTGACTTAACCTTGCCTCCGTAGCTCCGTTTTCATTCGGTTGCCCCAGTTCCTGTCTGATCAGCCACTGGTGATCAGTTGTTCCGAGAGGCGATGGCAGGTACGATGTTAAGGTTTGTACCGTTGCAGTTATGTCCTATGTAGCAGACATGTCCTCTGACGTAATGTGATATACGGAGCCAATCATATCATGCGTTCTATCTAATAACACGCAGCATAAGACTGGTAACTAAACTCCGTTGCAGTTCGGTCTTCGAGCAAAATTGATTTTTGGAGGGGTAGCGTACGGAAGCAGTATTTGACTTTATATGTCTTTACTCTGAACCAGAGTGACTCTGAACGTAAATATGCAGCGACTATTTGCAAGAATGGCATTT